ATACTGAGTTACATGACCGGGTTATCCTTAAGAATATTACATGTAAAAATTCTCCAGGAACTTCCCGTCAAGAGTGGGAAACAGTTTAGACTTATAAACCTATTGGAGTATCGAGGAGCAGTTTATACTCGTATACTCTTTGGAGTGAGGGGAAACAGTTTATACTCGTGCACCCAATGGAGTTGGGGGAAATAATTTATACTCGTGCACCCAATGGAGTTAGAGTCGTCTTTACTTGGCTTGTTTCGCCGTTATGACGCCGGAGTCAATTAAGGCTTGGATTTTGTTTTTGAGTCCGAAGCAAATCTCGATGGGATGAAGAACCCTTCTGTGGTACGCACGGTAGTTTGGATCCGTAATCCTCTTAGCTCCCTCCTGATCTTTAAGCTGGAGCTTCATCATTTTCGAAAGAATACTCCTTTTGAAACTTCGGATCGAGAGTCGCGTTCCCAGCGATTGTAGATGTCGCCGGTCGGTTTCTCTCAGCTTTCTTTCTTTTAAGAAAGTGTTCAGCTTGTTCACCGCGCACTTTCAAATCCTTCCAAGTTTTGGATGGTACGACCCCCAGGGCTTCCTGGACATCGATGGAGAGGTTATTGTGGCATGTTTGCAGGATAAACTCCTCTGTAACAGGATCACTGCAATTCATTGCCTTGTTACGGAAGCGTTTGACAAAATTGTCGACTGACTCTCCGTCTTTTTGCTTCTCATCTAAAAGGGTTCCGATCGATACTTCGGTGTCATCATCGAAGAAATTACTGAGAAACAAACTTTCCATGTCATCCCAGCAATTGACGCTCCCTGGCTTGAGACGTCGATACCAATCGAAGGCGGGTCCACGAAGGGTGCCAACGAATGACCGGACCATTAAAGCCTCGTTTCCAGAGATCATGCCCAAATGAGACTTGAAATAAATCAAGTGCTGAATAGGCGAGCTTTTCCCGTCAAACAGTGTGAAGCTAATCAGATTGAACTTTGCCGGGTACGGTATTGAATCCCATTCTCTTGGATAAGGACACGGAATACCCGTCTTCTTTACTTCTTGAGCCGTCATCAAAGCGTTGACTTTGTTTTCAAGCTCTTTCATTTTCTTGCCCTCATCTTCATGTCTTTCTGAGTGATGTGGAGCAGAAATAGTTGGGCCACCCCCAGCGTTATTAAGCGGTGTAATTGAATCACCCCCAATATTGTTATTGGGAGGATCTGTTGAACCACCCCCAGTGTTATTGTCATTGGGAGGTGTATCAGCCATAATGACTTCATCCACTTCTGGATCACTGTCATCTACAACATTCTGAGTGTGGCGGCTGGATTCAGCTCGCTGACTGGACTCAGGAGGTTGAGGCCGTTGAGTTAGCAATTCTCTCATTTGTTGGATAGCTAACTCCATCTCTGTCTTCATCTCAGCTCTAATTTCTTCACGTTGCTTGGCTAGAGCTTCTTGAAGCATTTGAGCAAACTGATCAGAAGTTATTGTGAGCACTTCTCTGGTTTGTCCTGTACTAGATACCGTATCATCCGAAGCGATCGCAGAACAAGTGTCCGAGAGCTCATCCTCTGATGACATTCCTTCATGCATTCTTTGGTTGTCCCTAAGTCTGATGACTCTTAACTGGAGTCGGGACATCCATTTGGCAATTCTTGAATTGACTTTTCCTCTCGGGAAAAAGTCGGGATTTGATTCACTTGAATGCCATTTAGATTTTCCTTTATCAGCCATGTTGATGGTGACTTTAGGGAATTCATCATCTTGGACAGCTGATCTTCTCTTACGAAAATGTCTCGGCTTAGGCTTTAACATTTCGGTGAAAAGCCTCTGGAACATTGAGACTCTTTGCGAGATGACTTTTCATTTGGTATAGTCATATTCCGACAATACTGCTCTAATGAGTCGTGCACAGGAACAATGAGAGCTTATTTCTCGAATAATTCTCTTTCGAAATTTATTCACACCTACAGCTTGATAGTACGATTCATCGGTATGATTGCCGGAAAATCCTATCGTCTGTTGGCATGACCTCCCAGGTATGACTATATCTTTTGGTGAATGCGTCTTCTTCTGGGGGTGTAAAACCTTGTTGGCATTCTCAGGACAATTTATTACTGTCTTTGAGCGATCCAATGTTATGTCGGGAGTCACACGTTTAGAACCACCCCCTTGCGGGTATGGAGTCTTAACGGGCTCTGAATGCTGATTTTGCTTAAGTCCAGACTTCGGAATCCAAACTTTGTAGAATTTTGGTGGTTCTTTGGCCACTGTTTTCTTGTTTCTTTCTCGTCTTTGTTGTAAGAGAGCACGGGCATAAGAAGCGTTTGCACGACGCTTTTGTATACGTTCTTTGAGGGTTGAGCGATCCCTCTTGACTAAAGTCCATTCATCCGTCGTTAGTTTAGCAGAGATATGAGTAATTGGTTGTTGAGACAACTGAACCACTCGATGCCTCCTCGACTCTAGGTCCACGTGATAATGAACCCCGTCGGTTTGTTCCAAGGCCTTAGCTATTTGACGAGCGCGGCGCTGACGTTGTCTCTGACGAGCCCTCTTCGTCAGTGTCGGTGGGCTTTGATTCGATGACTCTTTAACTAGATAAGAGTCATTGTGAGCAGAGGTGTTGCGAGTAAAATCCTTAGCAACAATCACGCGAGAGTCTTCATTCTGTGCCTTCTTTGGCATGGAAGTCTTCTTCAATGTTGAGATCCTCTTGAACTTGCGAGACAATGAAGATCTTGAAGAGGATGATGAGAGATATTCCTCAAATTTGGTTTGGTCGAATTCGTATTCGACCATGGATTCAACTGGAATCTTGATCGGCTGCAATACGACGGTCTCGGCAGCTAGACCGTTGGCTCCCACTGTGGTCGCCAGTTTGTTTCGTCGAAAGTTGTTTTCATTGTAGATTCCATTGAAACTTAATTTGTTTACAGAGAATTACAACGAAAAATAAGCAAATTACAACTCTCTTGGAAAATAACACAGAAGTCGTCTATCGAATCCTGTTTTTTGTGGGACTTTGCCTGTGCCGTGAGCGCTTTGAATCGTGGACCGCCGAATCACAGATCGTGAAGGGAGCTTTATGATTCTTCCTTCGTTTATCGAAGTGAGAATTTGAAACGAAGATCTTATCAAAGTAAGATAGTCGTTCTTCTTAAGATCAAATCAAAGCTCGAATCTCAAGGGAATCTAAGAACAATAGTGTCTGCTCTCTCTCTCTCTCTCTGCTCTAAATTGCTCAATAATGTGCTCGATCCTCGTCAGAAATAACCCTAGGGGGGTATTTATAGCCTCAGGGGACATAACTGCACAAAACTCCACAAAATAACACGTTAAAGCCGCGAGACAGTGTTTACTGTCTCGGCGGGCGAGACAGTGTTTGCTGTCTCGGCCGCGCGAGACAGTAAATACTGTCTCGGAAACAAGTAACTGTCTGGCGGTTTTTGTTTTAAGCTTGCCTTCCCACATTTCAAACTCAAGGTCCGTTATTTTGGCAGTTATTCACGTGATTTTCGCCCACGATGTTTCCCATGTCCTTTGACAGTTAATGGACACGTGGGGGGCAGTTAACAAGGTGGTTTTGATCATTTTAACACTGCGTCGCTGGCGAGACAGTAAACACTGTCTCGCTGGCGAGACAGCAAACACTGTCTCACTGGCGAGACAGCAAACACTGTCTCGCTGGCGAGACAGCATACACTGTCTCGCGGCGAGACAGCATACACTGTCTCGCTGGCGAGACAGTTCATATCTGTCTTGATTTCTCTCCTAAGACAGTATGAAGTGATTTTTTGATGATCTTCTCTATGTTTGGATATCTATTAGCATTTTTTAACGCCTACAGAACTAAGCCCCGTCCTCTCGCGAGTTGCTATTTGTGCAGGCTGAAACTATTTAACTCAAAACCAGATATCCGGAGAAGTGAGCGGCCCCTAATTGACCTCACCCCACCATATATTTGATTGTTTAATTATTTAATATCAACACAGTCTAATATTGCTATGAATTTAGTAGAGTATTTTTGTAGAGTATTATTTCCCACATCCAACGGTTAAATTCTTTTTAAAGCATATATAGATGGGTTTTCATGATATCTTTAAGAATTATTTTTACTTTTCTATTATTCCAAAAATGTTTTAACTATCCCGACCAATGTTATCAGAAAAAGTGAGTAATAAAATGATAAATAACTAATAAATACGGAAAATAGAATTGATTAGAGTTGAATGTGTGTCCGTGTTTGTATCGAAATTGAGGAACACTCCTCTCTAATGAGGTGATGTTTAGTTAGCTTTTGGTTGAACCTTAGAGCAACCAGCTATCATAGCGTTTGATTGTTAGTTAGAGTTTGTTGCTTCTGTTTTTAAGTTTAGAGTTTGTTGCTTCTGTTTTTAAGTTTACTTTTTCAACTAGTTTGTTGCTAATAAGACCTACTCTTCAGGGAAGATAGTGGTTTGTTTCTTTAAAATTTGAGTTGCTACGTTGTAGGCTTGTAAAGCATAGGTTTGTTGTTTCCTTCTCATGTAAAGGCTGTTTATAGCCCCCGGTTGATAGAATTCAATAACACATTCCTCCATTCTTTTCATTTTGAACTCTCTGAGTTTTCGATTTCCAACAATTAGCATCAGAGCTCCGAAAGGAACCGGATAGGAGTGTGTGAGAGTGAGAGAAAACACGAGAGTTTGTGAGATCAAACACAGAGTGAGTGTAGCATGGCAACCCCAGAGAAGTTCCTGCAGTCGTCTATTCCAAGATTTGACGGCCACTACGACCATTGGTCGATGTTGATGGAGAATTTCTTAAGGAGCAAGGAGATGTGGAACCTGGTAGATGAAGGGCTTCCTGCACCGGTAATAGGAACAACACCGGTGAGTGAGGCACAGAGGAAGAGTGTCGAAGAAGCCAAAATCAAGGATCTGAAGGTCAAAAATTTTCTATTCCAAGCAATAGTAGAGAGATCTTGGAGACTAGTCTTGATAAGGGGACGTCGAAGGCGATTTGGGACTCGATGAGGTGGAAATATCAGGGGTCCACCAAGGTGAAGCGGGCACAGTTCCAAGCATTGCAGAAAGAGTTCGAGTTGCTGAACATGAAGGACAGAGAGAAGATAGACAGTTTCTTGGCTCGCACCTTAACAGTGGTAAACAAAATGAAAGTGAATGGTGAAGTCATGGAGCCTAGCACAGTGGTTGGTAAGATTTTGAGATCCTTGACACCCAAGTTCAACTATGTTGTTTGTTCCAGTGAAGAGTCGAATGATCTGAACACTATGAGCATTTATGAGCTTCATGGAAGTCTACTTGTTCAAGAGCAAAGAATGTAAAGCTATCAGGAGAAGGAACAAGCCCTGAGGATTTCGTATGATGACAATGCAGGGAGAGGAGGGGGCAGAGGCTCATATCGAGGGAATCGAGGCAGAGGAAGGGGTAAACAATCCCTAAATAGAGCCACAGTCGAATGTTTTAAATGCTATCAGTTAGGACACTACCAATATGAGTGTCCCGATTGGGAGAAGAATGCCAACTATGTTAAACTTGAAGAAAAAGAAGAGTTTTTGTTGATGTCCTACGTCGAGCCGCATCAAACCAAGAGAGAAGAAGTATGGTTCCTCGACTCAGGGTGTTCAAATCACATGACCGGAAACAGAGAATGGTTCACAGAGCTAGAGGAGGGTCTTAGACAAATAGTGAAGCTTGGAAATGATACCAGAATGGCAGTGGTGGCTAAAGGGAGCATACAGCTTCAAATGAATGGCATTACTCAGGTAATATCAGATGTCTATTACATACCTGAGTTAAAAAGCAATTTGTTGAGTATAAGACAACTTCAGGAGAAGGGTTTAGCCATCTTAATTCAGCATGGGACTTGTAAAGTCGGTCATCCTAGGAGAGGGTTAATCATGCACACTGACATGAGTGAGAAGAGAATGTTTTACTTGCTAGCTTCTATAGCACCAAAGAACTCTATGTGTTTTCAAGCTGAAGTTTTGTCTGACAAGGAATTTCAATTGTGGCACTGCCGGCTTGGGCACTTGAATCATAAGGGGTTGAGAACACTTGCATGCAAGAAGAAGGTAGATGACTTGTCCCTCCTCAAAGCATTGAAGAAGTTGTGTGAAGCTTGCTTGACCAGCAAGCAACATAGAGAGTCCATGCCGAAAAGGAGCATGTGGAGAGCATCGAAGTGACTTCAATTAGTGCATTCAGACATTTGCGGTCCTATCAAACCGACTTCTAACGGTGACAAGAGGTATATCATAAGTTTTATTGATGATCTTACACGTACAACTTGGGTTTATTTTTTGCATGAGAAGTCAGAAGCATTTGTCACCTTTAAGCATTTCAAAGCTTGTGTTGAAAAGGAGATTGGTGCATACTTAACATGTCTGAGAACAGATAGAGGGGGTGAATTCACCTCCAATGAGTTTGAAGAGTTCTATAAAGCATAGGGTGTAAGCAGGCAGTTGATGACGACATATAATCCCCAGCAGAACGGTGTTGCCGAAAGAAAGAACAGAACGATCATGAACACACTGCGATCAATGTTAGCTGAAAAGAAGGTTCTGAAAGCATTCTGGCCTAAAGCTTTGAAGTGGTGTGTGCACATTCAAAATAGAAGTCCTACAGTAGCTGTGGAAGGGAAAACTCCTGAGGAAGCATGATGTGGTGTGAAACCAATAGTCACTAGTGGAAAATAGCTATTTAACGACGGATAAATAGCGACGGAATTTTCCGTCGCTATAACCCTCTTTATAGCGACGGAATTTTCCGTCGCTATTTATCCGTCGTTAAATATGTATTACCGACGGATATTTCGGTTTTAGCGATGGATAATTTCCGTCGCTAATACCTATAGCCACGGATTATTAGCGACGGAAATTTCCGTCGCTAATAACTTCTTTAGCGACGGAAATTTCCGTCGCTAAAGAAGTTATTAGCGACGGAAATTTCCGTCGCTAATAACTTCTTTAGCGACGGAAATTTCCGTCGCTAAAGAAGTTATTAGCGACGGAAATTTCCGTCGCTAATAACTTCTTTAGCGACGGAAATTTCCGTCGCTAAAGAAGTTTTCTTTAGCGACGGAAATTTCCGTCGCTAAAGAAATCTGGTGGGAAAAATTTTTGGGCGCGGGCGCCCAAAAATTTTGGGCTGCCCGCGCCCGTAAAAGCCCCCCTTTCCCCCCCCCATCGCAGCCGATTTCCTCTCTCTAGCCTCAGGTAACCCTCTCTCCCCCCCCCTCAATCTCTCTCTCTCTCTCTCCTTGTCAATCTCCCCCCCTCAATCTCTCTCTCTCTCTCCTTGTTGCATGAATAACTTGGTAATTGAAGCCCCCAACTATTTAATCTTGAAAAAAACCAAATTTTTGGGTCTGGGCTTTGAATGGTGATCGAATTTTTACTGTTCATGGACGAATTTTTTTTTTGACTGGTGGCTGAAATTTGGCCGAATTCCATTCTTGTCTTTGCTTTAATCTCGAATCTGACCACGATTTCTAACTCCTCTTTCTTTCTTGAACCTGACAGGAAATAACCCTCTTTGGTATTTGACGAGCTTCGAGCTCCCTCCTTGATCGCTTCATCGACTCCAGGTGAAAATCGCCCTTGAACCCTTCATTAACTTGTCTTTGTAACCTCGCATGTAGACATGGCTGAGACCTTAGTTTCCTATCTGAATATTTGTATACGGGATGAATCGAAGCCAAAAGCTTGTTAACTTGGATTTGGTTACGGCAGAATTTTGTATAACTCTTGGTTGATGCTTGACGACTTGGATCCGAACTTGTATATTGACTGAATTTGTATGTAGTCGAGTGATTTAGTTATGAACTTGGCATGGTTGGTACTTGTATATGATTCAGATTCGAACTTGCATATAACCGAGCTCTTGTATATGATCGAATTCATATGTAACTGAATAAGGAGAGGGTTAGGGTTAGGGTTCGGTGAGGGTTAGGGTTAGGGTTAGGGTTAGGTGAGGGTTAGGTGAGGGTGGGGGTTAGATGTTATGGTTAGGGTTAGGCGAGGTTTAGGGTTAGGGTTAGGGTTTGGTTAGGGTTAGGGTTAGGATTAGGCGAGGGTTAGGGTTAGGGTTAGGGTTAGGGTTAGGATTAGGGTTAGAGGAGGGTTAGGTGAGGGTGGAGGTGATGTTGAGGGTGAGGGTTAGGGTTAGGGTTAGGTGAGGGTGGGGGTTAGATGTTATGGTTAGGGTTAGGCGAGGTTTAGGGTTAGGGTTAGGGTTCGGTTAAGGTTAGGGTTAGGATTAGGCGAGGGTTAGGGTTAGGGTTAGGGTTAGGGTTAGGATTAGGGTTAGAGGAGGGTTAGGTGAGGGTGGAGGTGATGTTGAGGGTGAGGGTTAGGGTTAGGGTTAGGTGATCGAGGGTGAGGTGAGTGTTAGGTGATCGAGGGTGGGGTGAGGGTGAGGGGTGATCGAGGGTGAGGGTTAGGGTTCGGTGAGGGTTAGGGTTAGGGTTAGGCGAGGGTTAGGGTTAGGGTTAGGGTTCGATTAGGGTTAGGGTTTGGGTTTGGGTTAGGATTAGGGTTAGAGGAGGGTTAGGTGAGGGTGGAGGTGATGTTGAGGGTGAGGGTTAGGGTTAGGGTTAGGTGATCGAGGGTGAGGTGAGTGTTAGGTGATCGAGGGTGGGGTGAGGGTGAGGGGTGATCGAGGGTGAGGGTTAGGGTTCGGTGAGGGTTAGGGTTAGGGTTAGGCGAGGGTTAGGGTTAGGGTTAGGGTTCGATTAGGGTTAGGGTTTGGGTTTGGGTTAGGATTAGGGTTAGAGGAGGGTTAGGTGAGGGTGGAGGTGATGTTGAGGGTGAGGGTTAGGGTTAGGGTTAGGTGATCGAGGGTGAGGTGAGTGTTAGGTGATCGAGGGTGGGGTGAGGGTGAGGGGTGATCGAGGGTGAGGGTTAGGGTTCGGTGAGGGTTAGGGTTAGGGTTAGGCGAGGGTTAGGGTTAGGGTTAGCATCTGACGATTGTTCATCGTCAAGATTGATTACAAAGGGTACAATGTCATTTAAAACAAAACCGCCATTGTAATCAAATCCGGCTTTAGAATCAACTTCTTCTCCGCTGTCTGTGCCCTGGGCCGATGGTTCAGTATCGGATTCATTACCATAAAGGAGAGAATCGGTGAAATAATTCTCATACCCCTTGAATGGTTGCTTATCCGCGACCACCGTAATGGGTGAGTCCTTTTCGTCAAACGGCGTGAAGTTAATTAGATTGAACTTCGTCGGATATGAGATTGACTCCAACTCCCTTGGGTAGGGACATGGAATACCAGTCTTCTTTACCTTTTGAGCGGACATCAATGCGTTGAACTTGCTCTCTAGGTTTTTCATTTTCTCATCCCCGCCCGTATTTTTCTTCAGGAAACTTCGGGGAGGAATAACGGGACCACCCCCAGCATTGTTATCCTCGGTAGGACCACCCCCAGCATTTTGGTCAACAGAAGGGGTATCAGCGTTGAGATTTTCATCCATGTCCGAATCACCATCTTCTTGCTTGTAGCATTGTGACGACTAGATTCACCGTACTGATTTGATAAGGCTTGAAGCTGTTGGTCATGTAACTCCCTCATCTATTGCATGGTCAACTCCATTTCGGTTTTGAATTCTTCTTTTTTCTTGGCTAAAGCTTCTTGAAGCAGTTGAGCCATTTGTTCCATAGTGACCATGAACGCTTGTCAAGTTCGCACCTCGCTAGACACTGTATTGTCAAATGCAACCGCATAACAAGCTCTAACACTTCATCATTTAAGTATTGTCCTCTATTTGGCCTTGATCTGATAGTTCCTGACCATAGAAAAGGATTTTCCTCTATTTGGCCTCATTTTATTTGACCTAGATCTGATGGTGACTTCAGGGAGTTCGTCATCCTGACCGACTGATCTTATTTTGTAAAAGTGTCTTGATTTAGATTTGGGTGCTTCAGTGGAAAGTCTTTCAAATACCAAACAACTTGATCTTATCCGTTCACATGGAATCCTAAACGTCCCGCTTCACTCCAGCCGTTCAATTTGAATTGTCGAATTGAACTATCTGCAAGTAATATGAGCCACTCGGTTCGACTGAGTTGGCAAATCTCAGTCGTTGAGATTCGCCTTTGTTCGCGGGGAAACTGTTTTCTTTTTCATTGAGATAATTGTCATCTTGGATTACAAAGATCCGGTCTTTTATAGATCCGGTTACAACTAAATCAAAGAAAATAAAGAAAAAATTACAACTTTCCTTCTGTGAACAAATCACGAGCTCCTGTTTTGCGGTCGCTCGCTTTGGTGGGTTCTTTGCCTGCGCCGGGGTTAATCCGTGGACCACCGCGCGATCTA